TCTGCAAATCTTCTTGCACTATTTATATAGTAATATTATCCCATTATTTTCCCCCTTTTTTGTAAAATATGGTGCTGTCAAATAACATTCAAAAAGTTTGTTGAAAACGACGAGAAAAAAGTAAAGAGAAAAAAAATGAAAATTATAAATTTAACCTGAAATTCAAGACTGCGAGGGAAGAGGCCTCTGAAGTAAATTTCTTTTTACTTTACTTCATATAAAAACTCAATGAAAACATTTTTAAAGCCGGTAATTACAGAACACTCTTTATGATAAAATATTTTCAAAGGCTTTTTTTTAAAAATATTTTAATTAGATGTTTAAATTTTAACATACACTGTAAAAAACTCGGTAAATCCTTAACTAGTATTTCGTGCAAAGTTTCTCATTATCGCAAAGTTTGGTTAAATGAAAGACTATCTTATTTTAGTTACACCGTAAATTGTAAAGTATGATAGAAAAATACTTCCATGGGGCAATTTTAGCCAAAATTTAGTAATGGAGACTAAACTTTGACGGTGACTGTAAACTGAACGATATTTGTTTACGATGCCATGTTTTCCTTATAACTCGGTCACGGTGTATCGGGAGGATTAATGAATGTTGTTTAAGGCTTCAACTAGATAATATTTGGTAATTGATTATTTGGATATGGTAGGTGAATATTTTATTTGCATTAATTAAAGTTCATTTCTTTTTTGTTGCCTTTGTAATTTGGTTGGTGGTTTAAAATGGCTAGAGGTACCTAATAAAATAACCTACTTACGGTAAATAGTTTTGTTACGGTAAATGACAAATTTGAACTGTATTTAGGTACTTTAAAGATACCTAATAATGGTGCACCCTTTTCTCTGTTTTATAAAAGAATTTAAAAAAGAATGAAAATAGATGGGGTTTTTTTCAAAACACCTAAATTTGGTGTAACCTTCTGCTGATATTTGGAGCTAATGAAAATACCAAAATATGGGGAAATTGAGTTCCATTTTATAAAGCCCACAAATGAATTCCAATTTTTTGCTCGGAATTTTTTACAGTGTAGTGTGAGTCAATAGAAACATTAAAAACTAATTTAAATATCACATAACTTGATAAAAATTCCATAATAACAATTTAAATTTATTTTTTAATTTTTTTTATTTCATAACCGTCGTTGAGCAGCGACCCAATTTTCGGGTTTACGACCACTAATGTTCAATTCCGTAGCCTTGTAATTGTGAACCCAATCCAGAAGACAAGGGAACTCCTGGATGAAGTATTGAGAGAAATTTGCCTTCGTGGAGGACTTTTAAATGGAACTAACCCGCCTTTGGGTTACATGAAGAGGAAGAACACGAGTACCTCCCACGGTGAGCCTGTCGGCATGGGGACTAATTTAAATTGATTTTCAAAATTTTATAAAATTTCTCACTTTGCTCTCTTTGAACGCATCATGAATTGACCATATCGTAGGCCGATTCGTGAATTTTCCAGAAAACCCGATTGAGGCTTGTCCGAACAGTTTGGTTAATTCGCGATTAACTAATCTTGGTCTAGTCTCTTATTTATTGGGCACTGATGTATCGTAAAACAATATTTCTAGCAATTTTAAGGACTATTTGGTAGGAGAGAAATTTTTGTGAGGGAATTTCCGCTTTTGCGTCTTAATTCTGAGATGCTTTACCCAGTTCTTAACGCATTTTTGGCTAAAGTTTTAACCCTTTTTGGGCTTTGACTATAATGTATCAGGATAAGATTCACGGAGAGCGTTTTATTCTGTCTATTCAATAATAATTCTTTTTAACGAGGACTTTTCTTTAAATACTATTTTGAGAATTCTTAAAATTCCCCCAAAAAAAGTTAGTTTTCTTATGCAGATTTATTTATAAAAATTGTATCGTTTCAGTACTTCAGAATGTTTTTAAGAAATAAATATGTCAACTGAACTACTTTTCTTGACCTTCAAATATGATTTAGAGAATGACAAGAACAATTGCTCTTTCAAATAACAATAGAGAACAATAGCGGTAAGGAAACTAAATATCCACCATTCAGTATACCAAAGAAAAATATAGATTGATTTAGGTTCTCATAAGAGTAACATTAACTTTTTTTTACATGAAAATTTAGTCAAATTGTATAGAAAAAAAATGCCGCCAATATTAAATTAATATTATATTTATATCTTTATTTTTAAATTTAATAAATGCTTACTTACGTTCTGCACATTGTTTATCTGAGCAATCTGAAGATTTATATATTAGATTGATGAAAATGTTTCTTCTTTCGGTTATGCGAAAAGAAACATGCAACTAAGATAAAATTTGCACATAAAAATATTATTAAAATACTAAAACTATCAGAAAAAAAGTGTTTGATTTGAGTTGAATAGTCATAAGCAAAATTTATTTGCCCAAAAATAATTCTTTGAGTATAAATTAAGTGGACAGTGTGTAAACATCCATTTGATCGAATGCTCAAATTTTCCTGCCGAAGGACTCAATCTTAGTAGTTATATGGCTTTATATTGCCCATAAACTTCGAAGACTACTAGTATCAGACGCGTACTTTCTCTGAGTAAGCATGTTTTTTTTTCTCCACTCCCTTAGATTTTCAAAATTTTTGAGGTTATTTTGGAACTCAATTTTATTCCTTACAATATATTCATAAGAGGTGAAACTAATATATTTAAATATTAAAAAATAGTAGAAAAAGACATCTAATTTCTTTTTTAGCATTTAATTAAGCTTTTAAATCCAATTTTAAAATGCTACTCCATTTTTGAATATTTTCTCATGAAACTTTTTCCATATAACCATCATATTCTTCCGAGTAACAACTAGTATACTAACTAGTATAATAATTACTATAGTATAATAACTAGTATAAGGTAAGAAATTATTCGAAATTTTAAGAAAAATTAAATTTGAGACAGTTTGAAAAATTGCCAAAGAAATCAAAGTAAAACTAGATTGCAACTAGATGTTAAAATCCATACTATCCTTAAATGATCATATAATCATTGACGTATGTCCAAAGTATCTAGCTTTTGAAGCTTTAGAAAAAAGAATCTTAATTGTTTTAAAAGTAGCAATAGTTGAAAAATTTTTACTTAGAGAAAACTAAGACCAAAATTTTCATTTACAATAGGGCTGTAGTATAGGACCATTTGTAAAAATAAATATTCATCCTCGTACAGCTTAAAATTTTACGGGTATATGGAAAACAGTGTGAGGAATAATTTTGATTTAAAAAAAATAGTCCAAAGTCAGTCAAATCATGAAGTAAAAAATTGATTATAAAACTCAGATTGCCTTTTAAAACTTGGAGGCGTTTTTTTTTAATACTCGACTTGTTAGAGGTATTCACATTTTATACAGTGTCAACATATTAATCCTATGGAGATTTTTGATTTATTCTTTTTCGATTGTTTGCTTTAACAACTTCAATAATACATACGCAATTCATACACAAACCAAACAGTAGGACTTGCGAAAGAATTCTTAATAAAATCAGACAAAAACTTGATAGTTACCGATAATCAAACTCGATAATAAGTAATATTGAAACGGTTTTAGGAAACCTAATGTAATGAAATCTTCGTAAATTGACCAAGCGGTGCAATGTTTATGTGGTCAACTTAGACTCGTGGTAAATTTATAAATCACTATCAATCAAAATCTAAATAAATGTTATTAAATTCTTTTAATAAAATGTTAAAATTTCTGTTTCATTGCCTTAAAATTTGATTAATTATCTAAATGAATTATAATTTGTGGCACGAATTTAATGCTAAATTAATTTGTTTAGGAAAGTAATATGTCTATTCGGTTTTTTAGCATACCAGTAATTTATCTATTTATTTCTCTATTATGCATAAGCGCGTTAATTTTTCTGTTTAAATTAGCAACACTATAGTTATAATTCATTTTGTTAGATTGTGTAAAGTAATAATTTAAGTAGTGTTAAATATTTAATTATAAGCTTCTAGTCTAGAATGATTTTATTTTTTTTAAATGAAAACTTTATTGCGAAGTAATTGTTTCGACTTACCTTTGATTCCTTTTAAAACAACTGTTAAAATTTTAAACATAAACGGTGCCGCATACTGTCATACCGGTTGTTGCTGACGGAGCTTGTCTTTCTGGAGGAAATATCATATATTTTACACGATACTAAAGTTATGGCTAGAGAGGTGCGTCAGTAAGTAGAGCAGCACGTAATGGGGCTTTGGGATGCCTGCTATGCTGAAATGTTCCGAACTCATATTTATGATGGTTTGTGTGACTTAATAGTTGCCGGACAGTTTTTAAATTATTACTAAAATTCAATACATGGAGAATGCATTGCAGAAATCAAATAGCTAAAAATTGAAGTATTTCTACGATTGCAAACCACGGACAACAACTGGTTTAAAAGAAATTTCTTAGAATATCAGTTCACGAGGACTAAATAATTAAAAAACTTAATGTTATATTCATTTTAACTTTTAAAAATTTCTCGGAATCAATCGTGAAGCCACTTACGTTTTTTTTTCTTCAATCCAATGGCAGATTTGTAGTCGTAAACCCAAAAAAAAATTGGAACGGCTGTTCCACGACTGCTACAAAATAAAATAAAACAAACAATGCTCAGCCACACACTGCAAGGGTGCCCCCGTCTTATTATTACTCTTCTCTGTCCGACTCGATCTCCAGATTTGTCACGTCACCGAACGAACATATCTAGAGTGATAAGTTTGGTCCCTCCCCAGTTTAGTCAAATTAACGGTGTTTTTACTGCAACTGTGGAACGAGATGTGTGACTTGTTTGTCTTAATGCCCGACCGTACCGCATTGGCGCTAGAGGTGTACCTAGAGGGTACTAGACCCTTCATTCATTTGTATATTTTCCTATAATAAATGATCATTTTGCTATGAATTTTTAGTTACTTATATCAACGTTGCTCTTATGTATCTCATGATGTTCTTATGAATCTCATGATGTTCTTATGAATCTCATTATGTATCTCCTTATGTTCTTAGGTATTCATTTCATTCTGACAATTATTTCTAAGTGCACTAATTTTTATGGCAATGAGTGTACATTATCAAAAAATAGGTTAAGTCAGGTACTTATAAATTTATTTTCCTTTCCTTGAAATAATTTTTTCAAGTATATAACTATTTTTTATGTTTATATGAAATATTTTTGCTGCAAAATGCCATTTTCTTACGCATGAAATATAGGATTGACCATAAGAGTAGCATAATAACCGTCGATAGTTTTCCCCCTAAATTTATAGTATAAGATAAATCAATGTACTAAAATTCAATGCAAAAAGTCAAGAATTAAATTTATTTAAATAAAATAAGCGTATTGCATAAATAATGAATGCTTATAACATAAATATCAATAGAATTCGAAACTTGTCATTGTTCCCACATTTTGAGAAGGTCAACTTAACATTTTTGATCTCAATGTATCTGACATTTTTTTTTTTAATTAATTAAATATAGCGATCGATCCATGTGAAAAAACGTGATCACCTCTTGATAAGATAAACTTTAATTATTAAAGCAATATTATTACTTAAATTACCTTCAAAAATTCCTTTGATTATACTTTATAACATTTAAAAATAGATATTAATCCAAACATAAAGGTATCAATAATTGCCGGCAATAAATAGTTAGCAGAAAAGAGATTTATTTTCGTCCACGATCGATTTTCTCCTCAACCCTAAAAACACATCAAAATTTGGCAGACTTCCAGCTCATTCTCAATAATTCATATATTCTTGTCCTTTTTGACTTTTCCTTCACTTTTATTATTTAGATTGAAATAAATACTCATACATATATTTGTATTTATGCATTTATATAAAAGAGTTTAAAAAATAATAGAAAAAGCAGTATGAGGCGTAACTACGATTGTAAGTTTGTCACTGGAAAAAAAATGAAATTTGAAAGAACTTATGGAAATTTCGCAGCTATTTTTGTGTCTATGCATACAATACTTTATTTGTTAATAATTTTCAGCAATACTAAGATTTTTGTTCAAATGAACAGAAATTCGGCCCAAAAGATAATACATAATTCAATAATCCTCGTTTATGTTTCTTCATTCATTCACTATGTGAAATTTAAGTGTAGCTTCACGATGAAAAACATTCCGGTAAAATTATTGTACTATATGGTAATGACATTTCTGGTGAAAAAAAAAACAAAAAAATATTTTTATTTAATAAAACTAAACTATGTAAAACCAAAATTTTATTCAAATAAACAGAAATTAGGCATAAAATATAGTACATAATTCAATAATTCTCGTTTATGTTTCGCCCCTCATTCACTATAAAAAAAAATTTTAGTGCAGTTTCACAGAGAAAAAAATTCTGACTAAGTTACCCTACAGTAAGGTAATGATATTTCTGGTAAAAGGAAAACATACTTTCGTTTAATAAAATCAAAATATATGGTGCCTAAACTATTGATTTGATAATTTTTCGTTCATATAGTAACGGTTTACCGGAAATTCTGATTTTCAAAATTATAGCTATTATTAAAATATATTTACACAGTAAGAATTTTTGTGAATATTTGTTCTGGTGTTGAGATAAACTAAATACTTTTTTAACAACAGAACTGTAGTGAAAATTTACATAAAATTGACAAATAACAATTGTTAGAAAGATTTAATGCAAATATATAAACGTGCTTGCTTTTTAATGAATTATTTTAAGTCGTAAATTGATTTTAATGCTCATGAAAAACAATAAACAAACAAGCGAGAAATGAATAAATAAAAATAAATAAAACTGCAACAGTGAAAAAGTGAAAATATGTAACTATTTGCATTTTGAAAATTTTAGTTTACCTCAACACCAAAAATGGAGGCAACTATGCACCAAACTTTTTTCAGAGCTATAAAAAAAAAAGAAATTGAAAAGCAAATTTTACCGAATAAATTTTTTCACGTCATGCTCTAAGATATCCCCTTAAAATTACCAAACATTACCACATTCACCCAAATTTTATCACACATTATAAAAACATATTTTATTATTAATTTTATCAAAATTATTACCAAACCTTTTCGATAGAACTTACCGAGCTTTTTGGTGTTTCCATGAGCCCAAAAATATGATAAACTTTTCTGTATCTGGTAGTTTTGACCATACTTTTTTTCTCAATGTTAACACTAAAAATGTGCCGACCGAACTGTGTAGGGGTTAGATCCCGGGCAAGTCATGGATGTTCTTTCATTTTCTGTACTATCGGTCTTTAGTGTGGGGGCAACTTTTGGCCACCTAATATGGTGCGTCTGAATTGACGAATGTCAACCGAGGTGGTCTTCGGAGAACACTAAACTGCTTTTACCTCAAAGTGATGTAGTGAAACAACTTTTGATGTTTCACTTCACCAAGAACTATCATTAACACATTTTTAATACTTTCCGTGTCCACGCTATTTGCAGCTACAGACTAACATATTGGATTGTTTCGTTAAAGATCAATATTGTTACCTGCAAATCATCCCTTCAATCTTTAAGGTGTAACTCCAGTCGTGGAAATACTTGCTGAATTGACCAGTTCTAGACATCATTTGGTTTGCATACGCTAGAAGATTATTTCGTAGAATATACATAAAGAGATCCATAAGACCATCAATTTGCACTAATAGCCTAGGCCATTGTTTTGATAGGCATCTCATACCATAACATTGCCTTTATCATGTCAGTAGGAATTTGATATTTATTTTTTTAATCGACAAAACCTCGAAAAAAGAGCATTTAATTTTGAATTATTTCTTGTTGAACATCGAATATACTTCTTGTATCAGAAATTTTCTAAATCCATGTTCAAGTGTTCTTAAGCAAACTGCAATCTAGCTTTTTAAGTTTTTTTTACAAATGAATAACATTGTTATGGTTATTCGCCCATGCAATCCAACATCATATAAACGTCTTGTTGCGTGCAAACCATTCCTACGTGATTTAAGGTACTACGACTAATCTGTAAAATACTTTGTATAACTCCAGAGCAATTTGAGTTTCCCGTTAATTTGCTTTTTATTATACGAATTTCTTTCTCTGTTGATTTGGTTTGTCAATAACTTTTAGACTTACATTTTAAACTATATTCACTTCGATTATTAGTAACTAGGTTATTTTCAGTTAACTTTTTTAACAATAAGAAAAACGGAATTTCTTTAACGAATCTGCTTTTTTTCTGATAATTTCTTTGACGTAACTCCAGATATACCTTTCTACCTGTATCGAAAGATTTGTTAATGTATGTTTATGTCAGGATTATTAATTTTTAACTTAAATTTACTAAAAATTAATCTTTTGAATACCAATGTATATCAGCAACATAAATTAAAAACAAAGTCTAGTCGTAGACTTTTGAACACGAAATTACTGCAGTTTATTTTATCTGCTATTTTTTTCCTTATAAATCTTTATACATATAATGTTAAATAAGTAACAATGTGATAGTATTTGAAATTGGTATTAACAATAAATGAATTGAAAATTATTTGCTTTTCCCTTATTTAAACAGCCAAATATTGAAAAAAAATAAAATATTATACTGGCCAAAAACTTTAGCATGCCACTGTATATCATCATTAATACTCCCATCGAACTTTCGTACATTTTATCACCTTTTACTTTCATTCTCCAGAACATATTTGAAGGATTTCATAGTCACGTATGATATACTTTTTAGTGTATTTTTTTTCTTTTTGAAATGTGTTTTAATGTAATTTTAATTTTTAAAAAATAGATATTTTAAGTAATTCTTACGAAGGTGGCATGATTTTTTAATTTTTAAAATAAATAGACGAATTCAGCTAACTAAAGAAATAATTTAATTATCGTATTTATTTTTATAAAATATAAAAATTTTTCAAATGTTTTGCAGTAGTTTTAGTAATTTATAAGTTAGAGTAGTATTGTAATTATTTTTTTTAGTTAGTTATTAATTCGTCACGTGTGGGACACATGAAGAAATCAAGCTATGTCTCGCACGTGACAGTTCATAAACTTAAACTGAATTTTGATCCATTGTAAGCCTGCATTAATAGAGATTGTTAATGTATTAAAATGTTTTAACAATTAAATTATTTTTTGGGTTATTTAGTAAATTAAGATAGAAAATTTTTATTTATATTCTATGTTTCAATGAAATATAAAGCATAAGTAAAGCAAACATTTTTCTCCAAGAAGTACAATTGAAATCTAGACAGTAATTAAAAATAATTATCGTAATTAGTCGCTAAGTATTGAAGATGTTTCCTTTACCATTCTTAATTCTCGATTGGCATTGTGATACCACAATAGCCATTACATATTTCCTAGCTTTTAAAATTTCTTTAATTTCTGAATTTTTTTTAATTATTCTTAAACGAATTTTAATTAAATTAAGCCAATTATTTAATTTTTATTACATTTTATAAAAAGTAAATATAAATATTTTATTCTTTTCTTAACAATCAATGCAACAGCTAACTTTTTTTATTTCAATATAAATGTAAAACTCATTAATTCCCTGTAACGACTAAATCGAACATCAAACTCTATTTTTAACTCTTTATTCTTTATTTCTCTTACCACAAAAATATCTCAGTTACAGGGTGATACTAATTCACACGATCCTTCTTAGCGATTAGCTATAGCCAAATTAGTTTAGATTCAATATTGATTACGAGGGCTTGCCTTGTTTTTGGCTATTTTATCTTTCGATAAATCGCCAAACATGGATCTCTTCCCATGTTCCTAACTGTCTGTTGCGAAAAATTTAGTCACTTTTTAATTTGGCTTTTGATTAGGCTGGTCATTGGGAATTTATCTTTCCTGACCTGCCCTTATAGATAATATTATGCAAAATTTATTATTTCACTTAGAAAGTCTTATGGATGAAATATACTTTTAATTTTGTACTTCGAGTTCTACAAATACTACTGAATAAAAGTTTCATTATATGATCGAGTTTTCATCTTCAACTCTCATTTTCACAGGGTAATCACCTGTAACCAAAAAAATCGAAGCCCCTTATCATGACTTTTAATCATGCGTGCTCTGATAAATTCTCAGCATATTGAACCAAAACTTTGTAGGCTACTG